TCACGATCGTGTGCTTGTAAGTGATATAGGTATCAGCCCTATACCCTAGCTTCTCACACAAGCTATATATATATATATACATATTTTATTTCTAAAGTAAGTCAAAAAAGAAAATGAATTTTGAGCATGACTCTAACACATGTTATTATATGGATCAATGTTAGTTCAGAGAGTTTGAACTTTGACTCTGAGACTCATATAAAGATGATAGGCATTAATTAAATTGGGGAAACTGAGCAGTCTGACAAGAGAAAAACATTGTGTTTCGTAATAAAAATTCCAAAACATCAAAACAGGAACCATTGCTGTCTAAAATATGAGTGTAGGTTTCAAAGTTCCATCAACATCTCCTGATCAGAGTCAAAAGACAGTGTTGAGTTGAATACAAAGATCATCCTTTTTCATGACCCAATCCAATCTTATTTCTTCCTGAAAACAAGGAAGGAGACCAATTGGAGTATGGAATTCAGAGATAAAATCCTTTAAATACCCCAAATTTCAAGGACAAAGTGTGAATTTTCTTTTACACAACATCCCAAAGTGACCCATATACACTCTCTCTGTGTTTTGTGGCATTGTTCTCACCAAAGTTCTGTCATTCTTGTCTTTGCTCCATCGTTGTGCATCATGCACAACAGTGGAGCAAAGACAAGAATCATCTCTCCTCCACTGGACTCATCCATGATACTGCCTTAGGGTTGCTAAGGAAAAAGTGGAGAGCCATCCTAGACAAAAATATTTGGACATTTTCTCTCTTAAGATCATTATCCAAGAAGGAGCATCTCCCCAACTGCTTTGTGAGCTGCCAGTTTATAATTTTTTTAATAAATAGGTTTCTTTTGTAAAGTACCTTTGCAAAAGAAACCTATTATTAAAAAAATTATATGTCCAAATTACTACCCACGTACAGTCTTTTACCTCTCGTTCATCTTGACTTGAGTCTAACTGATTCCCCCTACCCTGGTTGGCAAATCTTACATAAGACTATTTTAATGTCATATAAATATTCACAGAAAAGTGAAGCTACAGAAAATACTTATTTTAAAGACTATCTTCTGGAGATAACTGTACTGTTAATGTAATAAAAGTAATATTAAAAGTTTATTTTTGACTCTACCATATATATCTACTATATAAAAAAGAAATTACTTTTGAAAGTTTTTATTTGTTTCCTTAGTCATATATTGATTATTTAGAATTTTTGAATCATATTTTTCTGTTATAAATATTTATTTACTTACCATTTGCACCAACTCTCATAACAGCAGGAATGGCAACTGAACCAGTACTTGCATGAGACAACTTCACAGCAGGATTATGTTGCAAAATTGTTGCTCTAATAACAAATAAAAAAAATCATTTGCAACTATTTCACAAAATTCAATTTACAATTATTTCTAACCAAATATCAAACTCAGTTTTACAATTATTTCTTTAAATTTTGTTAGAATTATTTATTTCCAGAAAATGTTTCTTATAATTTGAAATAGTTCACCATATATTTGTCATTTAAATTATTGCAAAATAATAGAATAAAAAAATTAATTATTAATTGATTAATCTTCTTTACCGTTAATTAACTATTCCATAACAAGTTTTGAGAAAACACTGAAATTGGAGAGAGAATTTCTGACTTACAAATGTGAGGGTCAAAAAGGGGAGAAGTTTGTAGACAATATAATAGGTCAAAGAATAAACTGAAAATTTTAGAGAAAATAATATTTCGAACTTCACCAAGATTATATCTACAGAAAACAGAGGAAACAGCAGAATTTGAAAGGAAATTGATTTCCTTTCTCAGGCGAACCGTTGATGAATTGATAATTTTGCACATGGTGTGGATGACTAAATAAAAGGGCCATGGTCCCGCCAATCGAGGCAGTCCGACAAAGAAAGGTTGCCATACACAAGCGTTGATGTATGAATCAAGGCAGTCCGTCAAGAAGAGGAATTGCCATATCAAGGAAATACGAATCAAGGCAGTCCGTCCAGAAGAGGAATTGCCATATACATACAGAATAGGGCAGTCCATAGAAGGTGCCACATACAGAGAAATACCATATACAGAACATAGGCAGTCCACATATACCATAGAGTGCTCTACATACGAAGCCGATATACGACATACGAAATCGTTAAATTAAAGTATAGCATACGACGATATTGTAGAAAGGGAAGATATTGAAGAACATCCCATGATAAAGATAAGAAGAGAAATACTTAAAGAAGGAAGTAGATCCTCATGCAGATATGAAGAATACAGAAGGTAATGTAAGCTCTAAATAGATCGATGTAAACTCTCTCATGCATTAGGTTAGAAATAAGGTAGTTAATTAGTATTTAGATATAAATATTCATTCATTCTTTGTATAGTTTTTAATAGTTTGTTTTATTAAATATTTTACTTTGTTTATAAATGGCTTGGTTCCTGTCAGATATTCACCTACATTTAAGTTCCATGCTTCTTCCAATTCCCGAGGTTAGGGATAACGCATTTTAATCCGCATATTCTAAATTTGATTAACTGGTGTCAGGACCCTGACGAGATCTAGAATTAAACCTCTAGATCGTTCTTAAACATTTACCGCCCTCCTAGAAAAAGTTAGTGAGCCGATCTCACGATCGTGTGCTTGTAAGTGATATAGGTATCAGCCCTATACCCTAGCTTCTCACACAAGCATAATATTCAGTTCATATTTTAGGTAATTTAAATTTTAATATTGATAATCCTTTATTTTCATGTTGTTATACTTATTACATGAAGAGTTCTTTTATGTTTATTTTAATCAACCAAGCAACATTTAAAATATATTCAGGATAAATGGAAAAACCAGTAGAATTTAATTTTCATAGAATTTTTTATACAGGGTAGGTGCATAAGTAGGTATATAGTTGAGAATCTGAGAAATACAAATGTTTGGTGTTCATTATTATTACTTTTACAGTAGAACCTCGAAAACTCGGCTCTCGATAACCCGGCACTCCGGATAACTCGGCCACACCCTGGCAGGGCAAAAAAATCCTTAGTTAATTAATTTTCATTATAGACAGCTTTATAAAAGTATAAAAGCTCTCATAAAGTATTTTTCTGAGGTCTGTCTTATCAGGTAAATTACTGTACACAGTGTATTCATTAATTTTCATTTTCATGTAGTAAAGGCTCTATGCCTTCATAAAGTACGTACTTTTCCTTTGTTTAAGGGTATTTGGGCAGTTTATTCTCTGTTGTATTCTCAAGCAAATAATACATACAAGTACAGTACAGTATTTTCTGAGGAAACACGCATACTTATCCTTTTTTAACCCCATTCCCGATAACCCGGCATTTTCACAAACTCGGCCACCCTTCGGTCCACATTAGGCCGAGTTTTCGAGGTTCTACTGTATTATCTTTTATTAGTTTTTTTAGTATCTTTTATTAGTTATGATTGTGATTTAATTTGTACATAAAAATAAATGTTTTTTCTTCCTACTTTCTCCCTGTATGTTTTTTCCATAATAACAACTGTATACCTACTTTTGCACCCCTCTGTATATTCAAATAAAATAATGACCTTACACTATATCTTCCATTAATGCGTAGAGTTAGGCTGTGTACACATTAGGCATTTTGCATTAAACATGCATTAGCAGCATACACACCGCACGTTTAGCTCGACGTTCGACAACTGTTCACACTGGCTCAGTTTGGAAATGGATGTGAAAGTAATTGCTTGTGTGTGCCTCCTCCATCGTTGCTGTAAAAGACGATGGTAGAGGCAAAGAGAATTTTGGGTGCATCCAATATTACAAGATAGACTGATGCATGGAATGTTTGTGGTGATGTATCCAAAACTAAGAAAATATGAACCCAAGTTTTTTAATTCTTTTAGAATATCTATAAAATCATTTGATGATAGCTGGTCTCTTTTATATTTCATCAATAAATAGATCAGTATCAAAATGATCATTCTCCATTTCAGCTAGTGTGTGTCCACTCTCCCGAAAGCACGCGATCGAATGTACAACAACATGGCAGCACATGTATCTCAAAGCACGCAGCTGACGCCCGCGAAACACGCATCCTAACCAAAATCTATCAATGCACGTTTGATGCATGCTTGGCCAGAAGTGTGCGTTTGAGTGTGTATGCCTATGCGGAACTCTTGGTTCTTTAAAACGCGCATTACCAAAAGCACGCGTTTCAAAACACCTAATGTGTACACAGCCTTAAAGTTTAAAAATAATAAAATTACTAACTTTGCAGGAGACACACTATCTTCAACCATAGTTGAGCCTTCATCTCCTTCTATTCCAAAATGATCTTTTGCTTTTTTCTGTAATATATAGTTATTTTAAATTATAGTAAAATACATAGAAAATTTCTTAATAAAAACAGTACAAATGAAAACAAACATAATTATGGAGTGTGTATTACATTTTTAAAAATAATATAAAATGATTGTTAATTAAGAATTACAGTAGAGCATCGTTTATCCGAATCAATTGGGGACTGGGATTGTTCAGATAACTTATTTTTCGGATAACCGATTATGTACGAAAAAATATATTAACCTATCCCATGTTGAAATTTTTCTCCGTTACGTGTTGCTTCGCATTGAATTTCATCGATGTTAAGCCTAATGTAAACTTTTTAAAATAATAATCATGGCTATTGTATCGTTAAAAATTATTTCTTTATTTTTTACAAACGAAAAATAAATATATTGAAAAATATAAAAACAAAATAAAATTATACTTTAGAAGTTTATCTAGTATCAAAAACATTCGATTCAGCATGACACACAATGCTCAGAAACACACCAGACAAAAGTTCCAGTGCTGCCAGCTAAATCACACACGTCAACAAAAAAAAATATTGGAGTAGCCCAAGATATAGCCACAGATTGCAGCGCCACAGCACTAGCAAAAATTTAAATTTGCCGACAGGAATTCTTTCGGATAAATGACACACTACTGTATATTCAAATTAGAAAATTTATTGATTTTTGAAAGTTTATTGATATTTCAAAGTTCTATTATTATAAAACAACAGTAAATCTTTCAAATAACACTTCAAAACTACTTATTTTTCAATATTTCCCATTATATATAACTTAGTTTAATTAATTAATTTATTTTTATAATACAATTTATCAATATTTAACGTTTTTCATAACAATTATTTTTTGTTATTATTGGATAATTTATATAAAAATCAAAATTTTCCACTAATAAATAGCCTAAATATGATTTGTGTTATGTAAATTATAATTATTCATTTGTTCAAATTAATTTACATTTTAATCCATAGTAATAAATTTAAAAAATTGTTGATTTAATTTTAAAATTAATTTATTCCATACATATAAAATGATATAATGACTCATCAAATTTTAAAACCTAAAAATTTATTTAATTCAAAAACTATATATACTAGAAGTTTGTTAATCTGGCATCCAATAATAACTTAGTTTGCTAGTATTTTGTAAATCAGAATTTGTTTAAACACATTATGCATTAAAGACTCCAGGAGAAAATACAGTGCATGTCTGGAAAATAATTATTACATGAATATGAATCATTAACATTTCTGAAGGTTTTACAATCAAATTTAACACAGTATAGTTATGCACTGTATCATGTTCAGACTGATTAAGAGCATGCATAAATATAAACATCTACAAGCTCAATTTTTAGATTAAAGACAAATGATTGCTGGATTGGTATCATTAATACAGCCCAATGTAATATGGTAACTGTTTGATTTTGAGCATGCATAAACAATCATAATAATAAAGCAGTATACACTATACAACAACAGGTACATCAATGTCTGCAATATTCAGATCACATATAGCTTATCAAATTTTGCAAAAATACAAAAATGTCCTTTAAAACCATACATATATTTTTAAAGATAAACTAGAAAACTGTTTCTATTGTTTCTTATAGAAAAATGAATTCTAAAAGAAAGTTTAATAAAATCTCAACTGCTGTTGATTTCAATAGAAACTTAGAACATTCTAAATAAAATACAAAATACTAAATCACAAATTCTGAAAATTTAAAAAAATTTAGTATACAAAATCAATATACCTTAAATATACATGATATACATGTCAGTGACAGTACTAATGTCATTTTCTATTATCATAGGAAAACAATGGGATGGATTTAAGCCAAGCATAACCTAAAAAGACAGAATCTTTTTTGATCTTTTTAAAGACAGCTTTAAAAAGTTCAAAAATATTTATTACACAAAGTTTTCTTGTTGAATTTTAAAGATTTTTGAGTTCAAATGTAAGACTTTTTATTTTATTCAAACAATAGATTCAGTGTAAGATATAAGTATAATCTTAATTAGCAACAGAGATAAATTCAAATATGTGATAAGATATGTAAATAGTATAATACTAAAAGATTAACTCAAGAAAATAATCATAAAGAAATAATAAATATAGAATCAGAGTATACTTAACAAAATATAACTAATATAGAATTTCTCCAATTTATTCTGTGTTTTGTTTATTCAAATTATGACAAATTAGTAATATGTCTGCTAGTTACTAAATATACAAATATTATATAAATGTAATAAATAAAAAATAAATTTAGTAATTCAAATCTCAAAATGTTCAAGGAAAAAATATCCAACCCAAAAAATTAATATATATACAAAAAAAATGAGTCTCAGCTAACTAGCACAATTTTAATTTATTAAAACTAAAACTACACATATAACAATAAAACTAAAACAATCTTAGTCCTAACTTTAAACTGACTTGTAAGTCAAAAACTAATTTTAAAAATATATATTTTTTAAAATTAACAATATGAAAAATGGAAAGTTACAAACTCACCAGTTAATACAAAAAATCTACGGCAAAAGTAACATATTATTTAGTATAATATTCCCCATGTCTTATTATCTATACTTGTAATCTTTCATTAAATTTTATTTTGATTAGAAATAAGATACATAGAAAAAAATCCGTGGTTCCTCAAAACTAATTTTTACTATTCAACTGAAATCATCAAAAATGTCAATAGCATTTTTTAAAATAGTATTGTCATAGCATATTATACTCGGCATCATTGGCAAGCTTGTATGAAATTTTCAGATATTTTTGACTTGAAAAAACATTTCTTCTTCATATTTCCATAAATTTGTATTTTTAATGTACAGTAGATCCCCCTATAAAAGCGTTTCCTATAGTTATGATTCCTATAAAAATTGTGGCATTATCCGTAAACAACGGTAAAAATAACTCCTATAATACGTAAAACGTCATCGGGCAGCCGAACTACTTACCCGCCGTCCGTAGCGCCACGCTACGGAGAGATTTCTATCGTCTGGACAGTATTATATAAATTATATATAAATTAGGTACTGTACATATAATTATATATTAATTATATATAAATTAGGTACTGTATATATAATTATATATTAACTTAATTTATTGTAACTTTATTATAATTAAATATATATTTTTCGCCGTCTAGCGTCACGCTACGGCGAGTTAGGCGACCTATCGTCTGTTTAGTACTGTAATTTTATACATTTCTTGTGAAAGAAACATTTCTTATTTAACGGCCATAAAAATTATTTATATTAATGATGTCTCCAAAGGTCAACGAAGTTTTCGCAGAAAAATAATATCAGAAATCGCGGCCGCAATTTGATGCGCTGTTCCGCGACG